AGTGTAATGCAGGCTTGTGTGTGTGTGTGTGTGTGTGTGTGTGTGTGTGTGGGGGGGGGGTGACTTCCGAGTCAAGGCTTAAATGTTTGGCCTCGTGAACCGAGTGGTTTTATCAGTCTGGGTGCTGACAGAAGTGTACAGAGAGAAGAGAGTTGGTGAAGGAGGAGAAGAGGGTGAGAGGGGAGAGGAGAGGGACGGAGAAACGTTTGCGTGAAATAAAAGCGAACGGAAGTTACTAGCACGTCTTTCTGTGTATCCCAATGTTTGATTAGTTAAAAGTTAACGGACATCTCACACTTCTTTTTTCTCCTGAACCGATTCCTGTAGAAGTGTACAACGATCAACCCTGTAACAACACCACTGACTCACAGCAGAACTCTTCTTCACATCAAATGCAGGAAGCAACATTTTTATTACATTTTTTTCCCATTTTTTTATTTTTATGAATGTTCTTTTTTTTTTATAATCTGCACTGTGCGCATGCTTTTTACCCAAAAAGAGAAAAAGGATGACAACATAAAACAAACACCATCGATCAAAGAACGAACTAAAACGACAATTAGAGTGTGTAAAAAAGAGACCCGACCCACTAAAATGGCATAAATAGGCAGTTTCATGTTGTTGGAAATTTCATTAATTGCTACGTCATCATCGTCATCAATCATCAATCATTACCATAACAACAACAACAACAACATATAAGTGAGAAGTACAGTAAAAAGTGCACCATCATCATTTTTAACTTAAAAACTATACAGCTGCCAAAGATAAAATTGTTAATGATAAACTTCTAACAATATAGAAATGTTTCCACGATAATTGTTCCACGAAGAAATGAAGCTATAATTTTTCTTTCTTTTTTTTTTGCTTGTTTTTAACACTAGAGTAGGCTTTGTTTGCTTGACTTGGATTGACCCCTCCCCTCCCGCCAATCAATTTTATCTTTTTTATTTTTTTTCAAGTTCGTGTTCTTGCTTCATTGCATCATTTTTTTCATCTTCTACAGTCAGCAGACAGCGGCACGAGGCCCCTGCAGTCCGTCCAGCTCACCAGCCGCCATTTTGGAAACTCGTGTTTCCTCACGTGGATTGGATCCTGGAGACGGCGTGGCAGTCCAGTGGCCTCAAGTAAGAATAAAACAACGACCCCAACCCACCCACCCTCACCCCTTCATGTCCAACATTTACAACCTCATTGTCCCCCATCTCTCTTCCCTCTTCACCCCATCCCCTGAAATCCACTATTTCTTTCCTCCCTACATTTGCTTGTGGGTTTTCTCGCAGCAATCCTCATTCACAGGGGCCTGTTGTCCCGCTGTGCCGGCCACCGCCACCGCCACTGCCACGGAGCCCCCTCCTCCTCCACCTCCCCCTTCTCCACTTCCGCTTCCTCCACTTCCGTCGCCCTCATGCAGTTCCTTCTCCCTCCTTTCCCGCTCCACGGCCTCCTGCTCACTCTTGCTGCTGGGGAACTTGTCCTTGTTGTTCTCCTTCTTCCACTTCATCCTCCTGTTCTGAAACCAGATCTTTACCTGCCTCTCTGTCAGCGCCAGTGCGTGTGACACCTCGATGCGGCGTTTCCGGGTCAGGTAGGGGTTGAACAGGAACTCCTTTTCCAGCTCCAAGGTCTGGTAGCGGCTATAGGTCTGGCGGCCACGCCTCCGGCCCGCAGCTACTAGTGGTGTGTGGTGGGGAGAGGGGAGAAATGCATTGATTGAATTGGGTTATTAGAGAAAAATCTGCAATCTTATATCTCACATGTTCACATGGTCATACTGGCTTTTAAATATAACCCACAGGGACAAATATCAAATATAGACAACCCAATGAAACCTTTACAACAAAGCTTGTTATTTTGGGGTTTATAGGTAAATTGCTACAATATCTAATCAATGCTTTGGCCCTACACCAATGTCTTCATGCATTTTTTTTTCTGATCAGAAGTCTAAAGGACTGAACATTTGCAGCTCAAATCAAATTAAAGTACCAAATCCTCACATTTATGAGATTCAAACAAGTGAGGATTTGGCATATTGCTTAGGAAACTATACAAATTAATTGTCGAATTTATTTCAATTGATGACAACCAACATAATCATTTAAACACTACATAAATAGTTTTTATGTGATGAAACCATACAAAACTGGAAACTTGTTGATTTGGTTTGCAGTTAAAGTTACTGAATGAAGAGGATGATCTATCTACCTATCTATCTATCTATCTATCTAGATAGATAGATAGATAGATAGATATTGTGTGTGTGTGCACGTGTGTGTGGACATACATTTCATGTTAATATTTAAGTTAGATTTGATCCTCGTGTGACTTTAATATGCAGGAGTCCCATAAGAAACACACACACACATGCATGCATCCATGCACGCACGTACGCACGCACACAGACACACACACACACACACACACACACACACACACACACATACACACATTGTAAACATATGCCCATGCTTTTTACTCAAAAAGGAAAAAAGGATGACAACATAAAACAAATACCAGTCGATCAAAGAACAAACTAAAACAATGACAACGACAATTGGAGTCGTTGTGTAAAAGAGACCCGACCCACTAAAATGGCATAAATAGGCAGTTTCATGTTGTTGTAAACTTAATCAACCTCTAACAATATAAATGTTTCCACGATAATTGTTCCACAAAGAAATGAAGCTATAATTTGTCTTTTTCTTTTTGTTTGTTTTAAACTCTAGAGTAGGCTTTGTTTGTTTGACTGGATCAGCCCCTCCTGCCAATCACTTTAATCTTTTTTATTTTTTTCAAGTTAGTGTTTTTGCTTCATTGCATCATTTTTTCTACAGTCAGCAGGCATCAGCGCGAGGCCCCTGCAGTCCGTCCAGCTATCCAGCCGCCATTTTGGAGACTCACGCTTTATACATGGATTGGATCCTGAAGACGCCGTGGCAGTCCAGGGGCCTCAAGTAAGAATAAAACAACGACACCCTCACCCATCCTCACCCCTTCCTGTCCAACATTTACAACCTCATTGTCCCCCATCTTTCTCCCCTGTTCACCCCCTCGCCTGGAATCCACCATTCTTTTCGATCCTGCACTCGCTTGTTTTCTCGCCGCAAACTTGATGGTTGGGTTTGGGGTTAATCGTGTTGAATGGTGGCAGAGGATGAGCCTCAAACATTTGTCACTGAATGACCATTCAATCATTCTTAAAACTCTCAGCAACAAAGAGAAATCCACCGAGCACTCACAGAAGTGCACATAAATATTTGATGCTATAAATACATCGTAAACACTTTTAAAGGGGAGAACTGATCCTGAGCGGACTGCGATGACGAACAAAGACTTCTCATCAGAAATAGCACAGCGCAAACAATGAGGAGTGAATATAAAGCAACTGACGTCTGGAAACCAAACAGCTCATTTACTCCGCTTTCTCTTTGTTTTATGTTTCAGTGCTTTGAAAAGAACACAGGCTTTCACAGGCCTGCTACAAAGACACAATTTAAATACCCAATACTTAATAAACACACATGAGACCAGATATGACACACACAGGACAGACGTGGAAGAATATGAGTTATGACTGTGAAAGCTGTGAAATAGTATTGTTCGATTGTATCCCGTGAACACGTAGGCAATCCTTCCAACAAGTGGGCGACACTAGAATTACGTGCTTCTAATATATCTAAATTGTCCAACCTGTAGGGCAATAACGAAAATATGAACAAATTTGAACTAAAAATAAATTACATAAAAGTCCTTCAGCATAATTAAGGAGAATAAAGGTGCACGACCACCGACACATTTGTCTGATTTATATTTTCTATTCAAGCCCCTGTGTAACCATTAAATAAAACCAGGGATGACAGTGCATTAGTGACACTTTTATAATTCATTATTGTTAATAACGCTAAAGACAACAGTGCAAAGGGAACGCGCTACAATCTATTCATATTGGTTTGATTCAAATATTTCTGGTAAATGAAAGAAAACACTGTTTCTGGACCACAGTGAATTCTCTGCTGCCATTTATTGCCTCAAGTAGTGATTTACTGTTTGGAACAGACCTACACAAAGTCTCTCTCTCTCTCCAGGACAGTGAATTTTTGGGATTAATTAAACGAAGAAGGCAGCGACTTTGATTGACCCACATTTCTGGCTATAAGCATATAGAAGTCATGTATTTGATCCCATCATATCATGTCAAGAAGCCTGAGGCTAAACGGTGGAACTCTCATCAATATCAGCCTATATATAATCTGCCACAGGACGGTCTCTACCTTTGAAAGAAAGTCTCTTGGTCTCATTAGATTTCTGCATAGTTTCCATCTATAGGCACAGAGCTGCTATTTATATAGAAGCAGGCAGAAGAAGGAGAAGACAAGGGAGCCTTTATGGAAATGCATGAACTTGTAAGTGATGTAAATGTCTTGTATGTGTTATCTGTCATGGGACTGGCGCCGTGATTTCGTGCTATAGAGACTAGAGGGAAGTCGACGCCACATTCACTGCTGTCACCAGGCATGAATTAAGGGAAATTGGAAACACTTCCCCGGGTAAAATAACAACACGGACTCTTTGATCCAAAGCGTTTTTTGACGTAGCAACATACACAGAGAATTTCACCCCCGACCCCGGCTGCATCACACCATCACACCTTGCCATAATATATCTTTGCTTATGTGGATCAAACAGCTATTGGAAAATTACATTTTTATTTTGTGACATTTTTCTCTTAAAACATGAGCTAAATTACTACACGTCGTTTTATTGTTTGAGAAAACGAGACACGCCTTTGGGATTATGAGACGTTTTTAATATGAAACCTTTACAAAGCCAATTAAATAAGCCCTAAACAAATGCATGGCAGTTGGCAGTTGACATTTTGGAGGGAGGAGGGACGAGGTTTCCATTGGACAACAGAAGCCAGTGAGAGCCGCGGCAAAAGACACTAATACCATTACTGACATGCATTAATTCTTTGGTCTAATCAGATTTTCATTCTCTTCTCTTTTCATGTTTAAGGTCGTACAGAGAAAAGGATCCATCAATATTTCCAACCACAGCGGTAAAAGTCGTAAAACGGGCTCATATTCTGTCTAAGTCGGATATTAAACCTCCAGCTTGTGGGCTCTGGAGTATTTCAAAACATATTCAGCGAGCAGGAGCCTCCTTCAGTGCTGGGGTTATAGCATAAAAGGTGTGGAGGTGTGGAGCCGGGTGATATTCCTCTTTATAATACAAATTATGAAATGTGCCCCCTCATTAAAGGGAAATTTCCGAGGTAAACGTGATAACCCACCTCCGCCGCCGTGCTCCATCCTCCCGCTCCACTCGTAAAAGCCCGCCCGCCTTTTTCTGCTATTATAACTAATAAATCCTTACACTGAGAAAGGACAATATCCCATTGAACCGAACACAGGCTGTAACCCCATGTGCACCAAGCATCCTCGGACCGAATAGCTGTGCAGTTTTGCACGGCTCGACTTCGTTTGCTTCCTTGTTTAGTCTTGACTTTTTGGCCCCTGGATGAGCAGAGCTGCCTGCAGCCGGGGTCGGCAGGCCGTTAAGTTAACCGCCTAAAAACAGTGAGCCTGATCAATGGACTAATCACTGAAGAAGTGTGCCCCGTAGAGTAGCTTGGAAGGATTTGGAAACTGAACACAGGGGAGTGCGGGGAGTCAAGTGCCAGGGAAATATAACAGTCTTTAAAGATGTAAATGATGACAATTTACAGGCAGCACGAGCAGGAAAGCGTCAGTGCAGACACACAAGTAGTAATACACTGCTGGGAGCCACTGAGCAGGAAACACTGCAGGAAAAACGTGCTTATATCTTTGAACACCATATAATGTAAACTATAGCTGCTGTTACCACTGTTAGCTTAGCAGCTGTGAAAAGGGAAAGCACTTGAACACAGACCTGGTTTTTTAGTCTAATATATTAGGTTGTTTTTTCTATTTTATGATCACAACCATGAAGTCACAAAAGTTTTGTATAGATCATACAATTTTTGCAGTGCACTTCAAAATAAAATAGAATAAAAGCCAAGAACATTAACGATAAACTGTCTAACTCACTCTCTCACACACAAACACACACACACACACACACACACAGCAGCAGCAGCACAACACAAGAGTTATGGGCTCAAACAAAATAGGATACTATACATGTCAATCCATTGACTCCTCTCTCTCTCTCTCTCCGTGTCTCTCTCCCTCGCTCCCATAATCTGTTTTATTGTAGTATTGCTTAAAGCCATCAACTATAAACCCTGCTTCCCTTTAATGCAAATCATTTCTAAAACCAACATTTTTTTTAATCGCCCTGTTTGATTTATAATCCAAACGACTTGAACGAATCGGGCCTGATCCATATTCCCAGGCTTTAGTGTTTGTGTGTGAGTGTGTGTGAGTGTGTGTGTGTGTGTGTGTTTGTGTGTGTGTGAGTGTGTGTGAGTGTGTGTGAGTGTGTGTCTGTGTGTGTGTGTGTGCATGTGCATATATGTGAGTATGTACACAGAGAGAACCACTGAGTGCGCACACATGTAACACCCACACACAAGTCACAGAAGCGAAGCAGAACCACGCGGACATGACTCTGGGGATAATTTTAATATGTGAGTTCAGGGATCAGACCTGAAAGTTCACACCAGGCCTGTAGCCAGCTATGAGGTCACCGAGGGCTAGACCTCTGTCATCTTTTAGAGCTAAAAATAAAATTTGACGTTAAATGTGCATGCTTGATTCAAATTTGCTATTTAGTGTCTGCGTGTGTATGTGTGTGTGAGCGTTGTGAGGCAGGGTGCGAGCGCAGCATCTTGAATAAGCATTTCCCCTGAAAGCAGTTTGAATTACGCACAACAGCAGTGAGGTGTCTTGTGTGTGAACTCTCAGGCAACGTACCGGACAGTTAGACAAAGCAATTGTCATGCCCTCTTCTGTAGGAAACTTTCAGAACAGTGGCCTGGTCTAATGTCTGGAGTACAGGCTATTGTAAATGTGTAGGCTACTCTGGCTATGTACTGCGTACTCAGTGTGTGTGTGTGTGTGTGTGTGTGTCAGACAGACAGCCCTACTCATCTCCATTTCTTCACCCTCTTTTACACACATACACAGACTAGATTGCATTTTGCTGTTTTTTATGTCCACACATTTTGTGTTTAAACTTTACTTCCAAAATTAAATATTTACATATTTATGGGTTCTGAAAATTTCAATTAGGGAGAAGTAAATGTCATTTCAAAGATTAAAACACTATTAAACTTTTTAGTTGAAAAAAAAAATATTGCATACAACCTATTAAAAGTGATATTTTTCACGTAAAATACATTTCACATATTTTCAAATTAAATTCTAAGCTCAAATTGTTTGATTTCCCTCATGGCCTTTAACCCTTAAAATAAAAGAGAAATTCCAGTTGGAAGGTTTGGAGATTTTGTCATTTTAGGGACAAGATACTGTCACAAATAACTTTATTTTAAAAACCATGCTTCAAACTGCACTAAGTATAGTACTGCTCTGCATAATGTTCTTTTGATGTATTATTCATTGAGCAAGGCACTTTCATATAGCTCCACAGCAGCTTAAACTATCCACACATTGATATTGAGTCTAATTTAACAATGTCTCATCCCCACGTCAGGGCAGAGATGACTAAAAGGTTTAAACTAAATTAAATTAGATGCTTTTCTGACAAAGACGCTAAATGTACAACAGCGTCACGAGGAAGAGATAGATGAAGAGGAAGGCAGGCAGCAGGAAAAAAATGGAGAGGTGGAATAGACAGGCGGATAAATTTACGCACGGTGGGTGAGTGTGTTTCCTTAAGATGATTGTTTTTTTATATATTTTCACATTTCCAGTTCAAACACTAATAAATTGTGTGTCTTCAAATAGAACTGAGACTCCTATGTGTGAATCTACCCGCCCTGGTGCACACATCACACACGAAGCTGCTAAATCTGACTGAAATGACCTGCTTTTCGTGTTATTATCCACACACACACATCCTCTCTGTACACGCACACGCTCAAACACACGCACTGCTTGCTTCTTTAACCCTGTGGGGAACTGACCACCGTGTAGCCAAATAGTCCCGGAGACCACAGGCAAGTCGTAAAAGCAAAAAAAAAGGGGCGAAGGAAAACAGTAAAAGTTTAACCCGAGTCAGAGAAAAGAGAGGGAGCACTGTTTCTAAATGAGTCTCCACCACACAGCTCGTTCACATCTGCTCTGAGCTGCACATTCTCAAGGATTTTCTCATGAAGTTCTCGCTCCTCTTTCACCATCTACCCTCCATTCTCTCTTTCTCTCTCTTTGAGCTATCTCTCTGTCGATTCGCTCAGTACTATATGACCGGGGCAGTTAAGCCTTATAGTCATTCACAAGTTTTGGTGCTGCCAATAAAACCATAAACGCGCTTTTGTCTCCCGCTTTGAACGCAGGAAGCGCTAAATGCCCTCCTTAAATTGCTGCTTTTAAAAGCACCTTTTCAACTTTCGCTGCCCCCACTCTTCCCCTCTGTGCGACTACATTTTCTATCTGCGCTGGGTGGAGGATCCCGGCGTGGACGCGGTCCATTCTGCTCGCTGTGCCTAGAACAAGGCAAAGGAGGAGAGGAAAACAACCCATGTAGTCGGTCCCTCCGCTTCCTCACCTTGCGGCCTCATCCAGGGGAACAGCTGCGTCGGCGAGGGGCTCTGCTCGGTGCCCTCCGCGTCCTCGCTGCCGAGCCCCGGCGCGCCTCCCAGCTTGCAGTCGCTGTATTGGACCAGATCCGCGTCCTGGGCACCGAATAGCGTCTGTCGCTGCAGGGCGTCGTATCCGTAGAAGTTGCCCGGCTCGCCGTGGCATGTGACCGCGCAGGGGCTCTGCTGGTACGGGTTGCTGGGCAGCGTGGAGGCGCTGTGGTGGTAGAAGTCCTGGATCTGCGGTGCGTGCTGGAAGGTGGCGCCGGAGCCCGGGCCGTACACCACGGTGGGCCGGCTGCCGGCCAGGTCCTGCGCGAACCCGCACTCGTAGTAGTTCGGACGTAACGAGTCCCCGCTTTTATATTTAGAGAAGAGCGAGTTGACGAAATAAGAACTCATCTTAGTTGTTGTTTGTTGTTTCAGTTTGTGTTCGGCTCGGTAGAGTCACGGTGGGGCCGGCGGCTTTCAGTTATGTTTTCTTTTTGTTTCTGTCGTGCGCTTCGAGGCAAAGGGACACCGACACACAGAGAGGGAGACTGGGACAAAGTGAGGCAGGTCTGCCGCCAGTGTCGGTCACCGCCGCTGTGGTGATTCCCCCCCCTCACGGCCACAACAGACGCGCCGGTCGCGATGTGAGTAACGGTAACGGCAGGCAGCCAGCGCAGCCACAGCCACCACCAGCACCACAACAACAATAACAACAATCACACCGTTTCCATAAAATCTCCAGCGAGGAAACGGGAAAACAGGAGGAAGGAGGAGGAGAAGAAGAAGAAGGAGTAGAGGAGGAAAAGCTCGTGCGCATCACAATTCCGGTGTTCGCGCTGTAAGCGGGAGCCCTGTCGCGCTCTCAAACGGCTTTTCCGTGATTTACTCCTCCGCAAATGAGTTGTTTCATATTTTTTCTCCCTCTCCCTCCTCTCTCTCTCTCTCTCTCTCTCTCTCTCTCTCTCTCTTTCTCTCGCTCTCTTCTCCTCTCTCTGGTTTTCTCTGGCGCGCGCTCTCCCCCTCTCTTTCTCTCTCTCCTCCTGGCCCCGGTGTCTGTGTGTGTGTGAGTGGGTCTCAGGGATAATTTGCATCTATTATCAGCTCTTCATCCCATTGGCTTTTCCACGCACATAGACAAACGTGCACGAGCGCACACACATATAGAGTCGATTACATTTTTTCCTTCCTCTTCTTCTGTTTTTTTTTTTTTTTTTACGCCTGCACCCACACGCGCCTGTACAACCTTAGATGATATTCTCCCGGCGTCGGCTCCAGGAGCTCCGTGCGCCTGTGATGAAGCAATGTGAGTGAAGAATGGAGACAAGGAGGTGAGGAGGAGAAGAATAAGAGAAAAGAGAGAAGGAGAGAGGAGAGACGGGGGGGATGCAATATCCAGCGAGAAAGAAGGATGATTTGGAGGCTTAATGAGAGTTCTGCGACTTTGCGTCTGATCAAAATGTACACAAGCACACACACACAAACACACACACCATCTCCCTCCCGCTCTCATTAATTGCTCTTTCTCATTTCTCCCCGCATCCTTAAAGGAGGGAGCGGGGCTGCGTGGGAATGAGGCCCCGAAAATGTCAGGGAACACGGTGTATAAAGGGGGAGTTGATTGGGGGGAGATGTGGAGAGAACCGGGTGGAGGGGAGCGCGCTTCCTATTATAATTGGTATCGGCTCTAACAAGCACTTGCCTGTAAACGTAATTGAGGTTTTAAAAAAATCAAAACTCAGTTGTGGGAGCATGTCCCACCTTCCATTCCACCCCTGCCTGCTGCATTCTGCTGGTCAGCTGTTGGCCCCTACGCGCACGCTCTCCGATCATGGTAAACTTTTATAAATATGATGCCCATAAACACGTAAGGAGGACTAGGGAGGGTAATATCCCAGGACAAAGTGGCTGTAAACGCTTTAACAAACTATGAGGCTCCATAAAGCGGAGGGGCCGTGTTTGCTTGTTTACGTCCCCGCAGCAGAGAAACAAAAAGGGGGTTCTTTTACGATGCGCCCTTTGCGCGACCGGAGGCCGTAAACGCCTCATCCTTGGCCGGTATTTAATTGTCATTTTCGCCCTGTTTTCCATACGGCTGCGATCCTCCCTGTTGCAGCGGAGGTAGAGGGAGGGTTTTTCTAACGAGGGATAAGTTGTGAGAAGGTTAAGCTCGGCCTTGTAGAACAGCCGGGGCTCATAAAAAGCAAGATGGCCTGAAGTGCAGCGATTAGCCCAAAAAGACTCAACTGTGGGGTTGTTTCTTCCTTGAGAGAGACTCCATTTGTGTCCAGCACAGGCCCTGAAACCTTCAGACCAGTCACACACGAAGATATGACGGTGTAGGCTCCTGCAGGCGCAGCAGCAGAATCCTGAGATTCGTCTTTGCTTTGTCGTAATATAATTTTTGTTTTAGAGCTGCTGCGCGCTCACATCCGCCAAATAAAAGGTCATTACCCGAATTTAATTTATCAAATTATACAGCGCTGACACAAGAAGCACAAATGTTGCCAGCAGCCGCTTGAATTGCACACTGTGTTGTGGTAAATCAGCTGGTTGTACGCGCGACTTTCTTACGAGTAATTGCCGCAGTATTTCTCCAATATATTACCTAGAATGTGATCTTATTGAAACTTTCAGAGCTCCGTGTTTCACACTTCCAGAGAGGAGTTGTCTCACTGTCAGATGTGAATTTGGTACCATCAGACACTGGCTTTCAGCTTCATGCGCCACGTCCTGTGCGTAAAATCTAAACATTGTAGTACGGAGCTGATTTGAAGCAATGTACATAAAAGGCTCTGTGTACATTATATGCATTTTTCATGCTCTGCCTGAGGGAGAAGATGATCTCGCACCAGGGCAGGACCACAACTCTCACACATTCTTGTCACCCGCACAAGCCTGCATATAGACTGCTAAGTATAGAGCCACAAAACGTTAAGGGTGCGTGCGTCCTCGGTGTGATTCCTGGACCAGAAAAAATAAACATTTCCTGGCAATCTATACATTTCCTGCACGCCTTCAGGTTATTATTTTCCAAGGCCTCAACCCTTCCTCTTCATCCCCATGCGTGCGCGCGGTGGAAACGACCTGAGACTGCCTCAGATGTCAGGATGTTCTGCAGCAAAATTGAAAATTGGCCTCGTCGCCTCGGTTCTTCTTAAAAAGCACCACCTTTTAAAACACATTAAGAAGAGGAATAGGGCGAGTTTGACCCCCTCAAAGAAGCCCCCCTGCTATGCGTGTCCTCCGTGAGTGCAAGCGAAGCCTCGGGCCAGCCCTGCTTCATCGGTGGAGCAAGTGCGCCATCAAGCGGGGGTCTTTGGTAAGGCCAGTGGCTGAGGAAGGGAGGGGGGCTTCGGCTCGGACTTGGCGACCCTGTGGTTATTTAAGTCTTCACATAAAGCTAAATAAGCTGCTTTAAAATGAAACGATGTGTTGTAATAGGAGGCTGGATGTGGGTGTTGGTTTGTCATCGGTGGGAGTGAGTGAAAGGTACAGCGAAATATCTGACTGGAAATAGGATGTGACAATAATCCAAACTCTTCTCTTGCTGATGCATTTAATGAGCTTTAAACTGTATATGTTGTTTTCCTGAGCTGTGGTTTACACTCAAAGAAAATAAACTTCTCGAATATATTTACCTCAGCCACGGTGGTAAATAAAACTAACAGCATAAAGAAAATACACATCTTCGGTTATAATAGTTAAAAGCTCAGTTTGCGCTTTTGTGTGTAACTTGTAAATACATAGGGCTAACAATGCTATTACTTTAATGCGTTTATAGCCTATTACACTGTGTCAATATGACTATTCAGTGGGCTATAAACATTATAGTGAGAAGTGTTCATTTACTTA